TGACAAAAATATTTACCAAAATTAGAGAATTAAAGATATCATTACAAAATGAACAAATCTGAGAGAGGCCCACATGTAGTACCTATATATGTAATATCAAAGCAATTGGACTTGCGGTTTTTAACAAGAAGTTGAAAATATCACTTTTTACTAAAAATTACAAAAATATTCACCAAAATTAGAGAATTGAAGATATGATCATGAAATGAACAAATCTGAGAGAGGTCTACCCAAGGTACATATACACCAAAGTATCAAAGCATTCAGGCTTGTAGTTTTCAAGAAGAAGTCGAAAAAGTAAAACATTGACACGGATGACGAACGCCGGATGACGAACAATCACTCATATGATAAGCTCCGCTCAACAAAGTCGACAGCGGAGCTAAAAATATTTGTGGTATTACTGGTAATACAACAAACGTACCTGAGTGTGGAGGAAATTTTTTATTTCTTGTTCTTCATACGATAACTGAATAACTCTACCATCTTTGCAGATAATTTTGATGTTATCCACACCAACCACTAACTGCAGGGGAGTCCTACAATGTGCAGACAAATAATGGGATACAGTGATATGGGACTGAATGGATGGTGCATATCAAATAATATAAATGTTGGTATTTTTGAAATAATCATATTATAAGGTTTATGAAATAACCACATAAAAGTACCTTGTAGTCTAGGCAATGGTAGGTTACTACCTACCAGTCTAGGCAATGAGTGAAGGATTAAATAGTGGCCAGAAATATGGCTAATTCACTGCATGCATGCAATTAATAAATGCAGAAATCTTGGATAAGTAGAAGAGACTTGAGAAATGTCAAGGTAACATTAAACTTCAATGGCAAAGCAATAACTTCATGATAAATATACAATATCACTGACCAAAAAAGTGTCAAACAGTGACTTTAATAATTAGCATACAATGTACACTCCGAGTGAGCAGCATCTATTTTTTGTGACTGGGCAACATCCTTGATAACTTTAATAAACACAAACACTGCCTTAACACATGTACTCTTACATGTACATGTTAATAACAAAGTAATTTTTATGTCTTACCGTCCAATTGTTTCATAACCATTTGACATGATCTGTAGCTTTACACTAGACTGTAGACTATGATTGGAGGCATTCCAGTGACATAATATACATGGGTCGTTCAACTCACGAGACAATTTGTCTATTATAGTACATACTCTATGAAGACACAAAGAATACATTTCTTAATTTTTATATTAGGTTTTTATATGTAAATTGGGTAGCAGACTATACATGAATACACTGCACCGATTACAACTAACTCCTAAAACTTAAGTATTGCTTGATTCTATGGTTTAAAACATCTAGTACAGCAACAATATATTTGAAACAGGAATTTTCTGCAGTTATTCCCCATGACACAATTTGAAAGTTTGAAGAATAAAACTTGAGATATCCTAACTAGGTTTTGAATTATGAACCTTATTTGTATTTTCAATTTCAATTTTTCAATTCAACAGTGTTCCCTCTCAACAAATATGGCCCATATGGTGGCGGCATTATGGCTGGATATCCACTCTGGACCAACGCTACAGAAAGATGGTGGTGGTTAGGGGGGACCCGGAGTCCATGGTGGGTATGAACTATGTGAATAGGCGGGTTCGGAGAACCCTCTGCCTAAATTCACTACGTTCAATTACCCACCATAGACTCTGGTCAGTCAAAATGACTACGTGTCAGATGCCGAAAGTGTATGTTTTCCGAGCAAACAGAAAAATCCCAGTCCGGGATGAAACACTCTACAATAATCACTCAACTCC